TATCTATATCTATATCTATATCTATATCTATATCTATATCTATATCTATATCTATATCTATATCTATATCTATATCTATATCTATATCTATATCTATATCTATATCTATATCTATATCTATATCTATATCTATATCTATATCTATATCTATATCTATATCATATATCTATATCTATATCTATATCTATATCTATATCTATATCTATATCTATATCTATATCTATATCTATATCTATATCTATATATATATATCTATATCTATCTATAAAGTATCTCTCGTTGTGTATCCGCATCTCTTCGCTTTGCTTTTAGGCACGATCGCCTCGATGATTGCCATGTGACGCTGCAGAAAATCTAGCATATGATTATTTGCTACGAATATATACCAGGCACACACATACACAAACACACATAATTGTAATTACAATTATAATTAGTGAGATTTTGTATTTATTTGGTGAGTTTTGCTCATTTATTAAATTTAATTGCGGCTAATTTCGCTTTAATGCGACACAAACTTAACAGCCACACACACTCGCATACTCGCACACACACACACTCTCACACACACACAGTAAATTAACCCCTCGAGTGGCACTCAGTTTCGTTTGTCAAGTTGCTTTAATTGACTTTTAAATTTAAAAAAAAAAAAAAAAAAAAATGAAGTGAAAAAACCGAAATTCACAAAAATCAAAGCGAACCAGATTGAGTGTGTGAATGGGCGGAAGGGTGAGTGGGCAGTGGGCGGGCCGAGGGGGGCTTGAGGAGGTTGGTGCTTCTAAAGTGCAACTGCAACAACAGCAGCAATTGCACTCTCGTGTCGGCGGCGTTCACACCTCAGACAATGCGACCAAGTGGCATGCAGCATGCGGCACATGCGGCAAAGCCGCACAGAGTCAGCGGCAGAGGCAGCGACAGAGGCTGGGCGTGGCAGGACAAGCGCCAGCGGGCGGGCTCGCTCGTCGGGGCGGCGTTTTGGGGCACTTGGCTGGACGGCTGCAGCGGGATGAGTTATGCATTCGGCTGAGCCACAAGCCTGGGCACTCATAGCCCAGCCCAGCCAGAGGGTATACTGGTTTCAGCAGAGCATATGTACATACATGTATGTATATAGATATATATGTATATAACATTTTAATCAATCAATCTGAAATGATAGCAAACTGATTACACGAGCTCAATATCTGTGCTGCATGCAGCGTATGCTCTAGTCGAGCATACCCCATTGCTGGCACATGCTCTGTGTTGTTTCTTTTAGCAGTGTTGAAAATGTGCGTCAAAGCAAAATCAAAGCAAAGTCAAAGCAAGTTTGTCTGGCCAGGGTCTAGAGGTAGTTGGCCCCCTCTCTTTAGTCTCTCTCTCTCTCTCTCTCTCTGTCTCTCTGTCTCTCTCGTTCACACTCCCTAACATATAGAGAGACCGCACACATGGCGCACGGCGCACAATTAAGAATATTTCTATCAGCCCACAAAGTGGGGCAGTTGTGTGGCAGTGGTCGGGGCAGGGGCAGGGGCAGGGGCAGCCAGAGGCTATTAGCAAAGTGTCTCAAATATCAAAGGGCAGTCGCAACACGTTGCCTGACGGACGACGGACAATGGACGGACAAGTCGTTTGGCCGAGCATCATCATCGCAGCAGCAATTAGCAGAAGGTGCCCAAACACATTTATCGATTGCATAATTATTCAATTGTTGCTACATTGCAATATGTAAATCGAAATTGAGTTCCCATCTTATAGAGGGGCGCAAGCAATTGTCTTACGTCTTGCATTCAATTCAATTAGAATTGATTCTTTTTTTTTTTTGTTTTTGTTTTTCTTCTATCGTTTTAAATTTCCTTAATTCTGTTTATATGTAGTTGAGAAATGAGTTCAATCAAGATGAAAGTATGTATATACATTACTTATGTATATCTGTATGTATTTATATGTGTATACATTTGTAATATATATGCTTATCTGAAAAGTCACTCTGTTTCTTCTATAATATTTTATTTATACAAGAAAACTATTTTTTGTTTTGTTTATGATATAGAAGAAAGGGTAAAGGGTAACACAAGTAGACTATTTTGGTATATATATACGTACAATATATGATATGATCTTATATATATATATGGTTTTTAGTGTATATATGCATGATTCATAATATCCAGTAAAAGATAGTTGAGTGGGACTGCATCTAAATTTTAGTAAAAGACTCTAAAACATCTAATATATTTCCGTACTAAGGCTTGACAAAATAAAAATAAGTAGGAATTGTATATGTATGAATACTTTGTAATAAGACAAAAAAAAAAATAAAAATAAAAAAAATAAAAAAATGGAATAAGCTAAATGAAATTATCGAATATTTTTAAAATGACTATTACCAGAAATTTAGTATTGTATTTATATACAATGTATATAATTCTTATAACTCTTAAATTGTTTATTTAATATCTCATATTTTTCATATATTTTTCTCATATGTTTCGCAAGCGCCTCGAAAGAAAGTCAAGTACAAAGAATATACTCAAAGGAAACATATGAAAATGGTTAATTTAAGCCAAAATGTAATTTGCCAAAAGGAATGTGGGGACGTGACCCCGCCGATGCCCAGCAGATGGCGCTTCAAAGCTAAAAATGCGGCACACAAAAGCTTCGCGCTATCAATTTGCAATAGCATAAGAGTGTGTGTGTGTGTATTTCTACGTGTTTGTGTGTGTGTGTGTGTAAATACATCAAAACAACTGTCACAACAAAGCGACAAGAGCCAAAGAGAAAATTGTCAATTAAAATATTTAAAAAAAATGAAGAAAATACATTTCTGTGCACACATACATACACATAGAGAGTGTATATAGATAAATGGCTAGTGGTGTACGTTACCAATTTGGCAATTTGGCTTTTGGTTTTGCCTTGCTTCCGTCTGTCTGTGTAAAAGATCAAAGGCACTTAATGGCCCAGCTGAGTGTGACCGTTTGCCGCGAGGTCGAGTGTGTGTAAAGGGACATGGAAGAGGGGCGGGGAGGGGGCGGGGAGGCTGGTGTTGGTGGTGGTGTTGTGTGAAGGCGCCATTTGGGTGGCAGGAAATCCGTTTTGGGCTTTTGGCCCCAAACTTGACGCGACTTTAATTGACGAAAGGGGCAAATGGGAAAAATCAACAAAAGTGTAAAAATCAACGAGACAAACAACACGCACACACACAGAGCCACACACGCACACACACAACACGCACGCACACAAAGAAGAGTTGGCAAAGCAGAACGTAACAGCAGCAGCGGCGACGGCAACAATATGCAAAATTAAATAAGATGACGCGAATAAAAAAAGCGGCAACAATAACAGTTACCAACAGCAAAAGCTGTGCCAAAAGTTCTTTCTCACATTTATTAAACAAATTACGCGAACAGGGCACAAAGCAGAGAAAATATGCGATAAATAAATACAAATAAACACATACACGCACACACACATGCATGTGTGTGTGCACATGCATGCACGATTAATAAACGAACCAAATAATAATAACAACAATGCATCAAGAAAAGAGAAAGCAAGCAGTGCAAAAGAAATATCGCCCGGAAGTTTCTAACAAACAAAACTCGAATGTATGTAGATTGACGCAAGAAAGAGTGAGAGGAAGAGAGCGAGCGTAGCTAGAAGACGGCAGAGTGTAAAGTGTAGAGTGCAGAGTGTAGAGTGTAGAGTGTAGAGTGTAGAGTGCGAGTGCGAGTGAGTGCGTGCGCTATTTTTGCTCGTTCAGCGTATGCCTTTCTGTGTGTGTGTGTGTGTGTGTGTGTGTGTGTGTGTGTGTGTGTGTGTGGGAGCAGTGCTGGAGTGCAGGCTAGCGACAAGCTAAACTTCAATTTGGCACAGTGAAACACTAACAACAACATGGTAAGTGATGACGATGACATTTCAACGCTAATTAAAATAATAATAACAATAACAACAGCATCAACCACAGCAACAATAACAGTTGGCACTTCAAGCAGCCAGATTATCTGTCTTGCATACACATGTACATATGGATGTGTGTGTGTGTGTGTGTGTGTGTGTATATATGTCAGAATGTTAGTGTGTGGGAGAGTCAAGCGTTGTGCGAGCTTCAGCTTGCTGTTTATTACTCTTGTTGTTGTTGCTGATGCTGTTCTTGTTGTTGTTGTTATTGCTGACGGTCTCGCTGCGGTAATATTGCCACTTGCTCGACTTAAGCTCGCGCTGCCTCTCTCTCTGTCTCTCTCTCTCTCTTAATGCCTCGCCCGCTCATCCGTCCACTAGTGCTGTGTTTCCTTTGTTGCTGATCCGCAGACAAAGTCGTGCTTAACAGTGAGGCAAGACATATTTATTTTCAAGCTTTTCATGCAGACAATCATGCATGATTATTTTATTGCCAGTCAAATTAAACATAATAAACATAATTAACTCTAACATAATTAATAGGTAATAATAATTGAAATTTGGATTTATGTATATTGATATAAGCTCTATTATTATATGCCCTATATATATTTTCGTATGTCTAAATAGTTTTCTTAATAAAATGTGCTAAATATTAAAGTGTAAACTTTGTGAATTTCTAATTCTCTTAAAATTTACATTTGCATTTACGTTAATTAATGGCTCCACTGTGACAGTGTTTGTCGCTTCTCTTTCACACACACACACACATGCATATATATAAGCAATTGCCATTGCAATTAGCAGCTCAACTTGAGTGGAGAGTTGGAGGTGGAGTGAAGTGGCTCAAAAGCTGCAGCTTGAGCCGTTGTCTATGTGTGCGTGTGTGTGTCTGTGTGTCTGATGGGCTCGTTGATTAATTTCTTTTTTATGCAAACTAAGCGGCTCTCGTCGCCTCTTGTATAGGTGATTCTGTGTACGTGTGTGTGTGTGTGTGTGTGTATCGTGCAGGTGACAAAACCAGTTGCCGATTATTCGATCTGTAACTGTAACAGCGGCAGCTGAGGGGGACAGTTGTGGGTGAGGGGGGGATTTCGTTTTTGGGGTGTTTCGCTTACCCTGCGCATGTAGCAGCGGGTGATGCGGTGGCATTGGCATTGCTGCTGGCAACGGCGGCGGCGGCTGAGGCGGCTGCTGCTGCTGCTGTTGCGTGTGATGCTGATGTGGATGATGCGGATGGTGATGCGAATGCGTATGCGGATGCGAATGCGGATGTGAGTGCGGATGATGGTGATGATGATGCACTGCAGCGGCCAGCTGATGGGGCATAAAGGCAGCGGCCACAGCTGCGTGTGCATTGAAATACGCCATGCGCGAGGCGGCTGCCATTGTTAGTTGTTGTTGCTGTTGGTGATCCCTAAAATGTTGCTGTTGTTGTTGTTGCTGTTGCTGCTCCAAGGTAGCCAAGCTGTTGGCTGCTGCAGTTGCTGCTGCTGCTGTTGCTGCTCCCAAGCTGCCGCTGCTGCTGTTGTAATGCGCTGCATTTGTTGCTGTTGTTGTTGGCGGCGTTGGCGTTTCGCGCGCATTGTTTGTTGTTGCCGTTGTTAAATCGGTGGCCGTTTCGCATGTTGCTGCTGTAGTTGCTTTAGTGGCACTTGTTGTTGTTGTTGTTGTTGCTGCTGCTGCTGCTGCTGTAGTGGCTGTTGTTGTGGCTGCTGCCGCAACGGCCAGGCCGAGCAGCTCTTGTATGGCAAATGGCGAACGCTGCGGCATCGCGCTCGCACTCCTTCGCTCCCTCTCTCTCGCACTGCCACACTCTCTTCCACTCCCTCTTTCTCTCTCTCTCTCTCTCTTAATTAGTTATTAGTAACAGCTGCGAATTCGAATTCGAACTCGAAATGGCTGCTAATATGTTGTTGGTTTGCTTCGCAAAATCGAAAATTGATTCGGCTTTTGTTGCTTTTGTTTTGTTTTGTTTGCTTTTAATTAAAACGGTATTTCAAAGCTTTGGCCACTTGCGCTCTCTTTGGCGCTCTGACTGTTGCTCTCTCGCTCGCTATCTCTCTCTGAGCTAATATGCCGGCTGCTCGTGTGTTATTTGTTCGTCTATGAGTGTGTGTGGCTATGTGTGTGTGACTGTATGTGTGTGTTTACAGCTATCTGTAGGCCGGCAACAATAACAATCGAGTATAACTGCACTTAACACTAAAAAAATGATTGTTGCTGTTGCTGCTGTTGATGTTGATGCTGCTGTTGTTGTTATTGCTGGCAATTCGCTCGCGTTTATCCCGCGTTGCTTTTATTTTTTTCTTGTTTGTCGCTTGTGTCGCCTGTCGCAAAAACACACAACAAATTCGCAATAATTTCCACGTTAAACTGTTGCCTGACTTAATGTGCAGCAGGAGTTTTGTCGTCGCCATCGCCATCGTCATCGCCGTCGCCGCCGCCGTCGTCGTTGTCGTCGTCGTCGTTGTTGTCGTCGTCGTCGCTGTCGTCTACGTCGATGCCTGCCCCAGCTTTGGTGGTTGGGACATACTGGCTAGAAAGTCGCTGAGCGGTCCATCCAACGGTGCCATGCAACGTGCATGGGCAACGGCAAAGGCAAAGGCAACGGCAACGTCAACGGGATTTTTCAGCCTGACTTGATCCTTGGCAGCTACGTTGCCGACGCTGTTATCGTCGCAGCGCTGCCACTGCGCTGCCCGCGTCGCCGCTGCGCAACGGTAAACCAACGCCAGCTTCAGGGGCGGCGTCTGTTCACTGCCACAGCACTAGCTGTGCCGCTCACACACATTCGATCAGACGGCGTGCGCTTACGAACGGCAATTTCCCCTGCACAGCGATTAAGCCCAACATGGCGCATGTGCGCAACAATTTTGTGTGTGTGCGAGCGGCACAGCTGCTGTTCGTAAGCGTGTGTCTAGCTGAGCCACTCTAACGCACACAGTACTTCCAGTGTGCTGGAAAACTTCCAGTCGTTCGAGCAGTTTTGTTTGTGTGCGTGCGCCGAGCTGCACAAGTGTTGGTGAGCATTTTGAATGTGTGTGTGTGCGTGGTGCCCATTTTGTATTGTTTGTGGTGCTGGCTGCCTACTGCCGCTGTCGCTGCTGCTACTGCTGCTGCCGTCGCTGCGGCCGTTAATGGGGTGGGATCTGCGGCAGCGGCAAGTTTCGGCTCGTTCAATGAAGGACGCCAATTTATAGCCAAAAAGCAAAAAATTAAAAAAGAAAATAAAGTAGAAAAGAAATCACACAAAATTTATCAAATGAGCTGAGGAGGAGTTGTAAAAACTATATGTAGCAATTGGATGTTGTTATTGTTATTGCTGCACATGTTTGTTTGTGGGGCGCACACTACTACTAAAACAGTCGTCTAATTAAAATGTTACAGAGCTCCTGCCATGAAAATGGCCGAGAGTTACTGTTCAAGCATTGCAACCAGCCGATCATGACATACTCCAATACAATGACAAACAACAACAATTGGCAGGCAAAACACAACGGGGCTTTTGTCATTACCGATGAAACGTCGCGACGCTTCAAACGGTTTTTCTCACGCCCACACGCGCCATTAGCAGCCGCTAGAGCAACTGAAACGTCAGCCCACGCGCGAGCTTTTTTCGCCGCAAGTCTATTAAACAATCGAAATGCCAAAGCTACAATTACAGCAGCAACAACAACAACAACAGCAATGAGTCGCGCTCTCACGACATAACTTCGCCGTCGTTGTCGTTGTCGTCGCCGACTCTTTGTCTATGGCAGCGGCCACGCAGTCTGGAGACTTCTGTCGAGGCTGGCTGCGAGAGGGAGACGGCCAGTGCCTAGCACTCGATTGGCTGGAGTGTGGGAGCGAGCGAGCGCACGAACGATCGCGTTTAACTGCGTAGCTCGAGAATGCGTCGCGGCGTAATTTGATATTTTCCTGCGCAGGTTGTGCGATCCTCGCTGGAAGCGAATGTGGAATGTGGGAAGGGGATAGGGGAACTAGGGAATGTGCATGATTCATGGCTTTGGCATTTTTAATGCGAATTTCCCATATTTCTATGCGCTCATTGTTAATTAACTTTGCAATTAGTGCGTGGTGGAGTAGGAGTAGGAGAGGTAGACAATGCCAATAAGAAAATACGAAAATCTCAAATACAATTCATTTCTGTCAAAATATAAATATTGAATTTCCTAATGATTTTAGCAAATATAATAATGAAGATAATGATGATAATGAGTGCTTAACTGGTAATTCGATATGCTGGCATAGTTTTCATATTAGGCAGCAACAACATCTTTCAGCTGGCGATCATTTGGCTACACTCCAAGCCACTGTGTGTGTGAGTGTGCGTGTGCGCGCGCGTGTGTGTGTGTGTGTGGATGTCCTTAAGCCGTTTGTCCTTCAACTAGCAGCTTTGTTTTGCAAATATTTTGACGTGCGATTCTCACAGCGCTTAACAAAACATACCTGAAATTATTCCTTCATTGTAAATACCCTGTAGGCCAATTGGCAGGCGGGTATTATGCATATATGCATAGAGATGAAGAGTGTTTATAATGCAGCTAGAGATCAAATCAGTTTGGTATACAAAGAGATACCGAAATTGTCGCAAACCTATATGCCCGTCTAGGCACAACAGTTTGACAGTCACTGTAAGAACAGTTGGAGTGTCTGCCTCGCAGATGGATTTGTGAAGCTGCATTTGAGACATAGCCATTTCTTCTAAGGTATATGCTAGTCGTTCATTTGAATTGCTTCCATTGGTTAAGGTTATGTCCGGTATACAGGGTGCCTCGAGTTGTCAGTGTGGTAGTCGAGTGGCCGACAAATGATTCAATTATCGCTTTAACACTCAAGTGGAGCGTTTCAAGTGCGAAAGTTGCCCAAAAACACAAAGAAGAAGAAGAAGCAGATAAAGCTGAAGATGAAGAAGCAGCAGCAGCAGCTGAGGTTCGAGTTTCGAATTACCAAAAAAAAAAAAAACAAAAAAACAACGAGAAAAAAATGAGCGACTGTCAATTATGTTTCGAGTTTTATTTGAACTACTCAGCAATTGTGGCATGCAATGCGACAAAGCTTAATTATCGACACTTCAGGTTCAGTCAGAAAGAGTGGGGGCGACAAAGAGTGAGAGAGACAGATGGGGAGGCAAGCAAACTAAGCGGCGAAGACAGATCTATAAATTGGTTGATCTGTTTGAAAATTGAGCTGGACTTGCATAGATTTCAGAACGTGAGGCAGGAAGAGAGATGCAGAAGAAGATGGGGATATGGATATGGATACGGATATGGAGAGAGTATGAGTGAAGAGTGAGATAAGGAGAGATTAGGAGATTGGGAACAAGTGAGAGAGATAGACATGCGAATTCAAAGAGGCAAAAATTATGAGAGGAATAGATATATAGGGAGAGATAGAGAGACAGAGAGACTGAGAAAGATAGAAATAGAAACGATAGTGTAATTAAAGGCGAGAGAAGATAATGAAAGAAAAAGCTCGGAAGAATGAAATAAGTGACAAGATAATGGACTAAGAGAGAGAGAGAGAGAGAGAGAGAGAGACAGAGAGAGACAGAGAGAGACAGAGAGAGAGAGAGAGAGAGAGAAACAGAGAGAGAGAGAGAGAGAGAGTGATAAGAAGAGAAAGATACAATTTCACTGATGATGAGAGAGAGAAAGATAAAGAAAATTATTAATTATTATAGATAGATGGATATGGAGGGTGAGAGAGCGAAAGAGAGAGAAATGGAAAGGGAGAGAGATTTAGTTGGTTGATTTGAAGAGTGGCTAAATCTTTTGAAAATCAATTCAGTGCAGCAAGAGAAACATTTTTGTATTGTTCGCCGATATAAAATATTGATTTCTGTCTTGAGTTCAGCTGGAAAATTTACTCAGCTTACTACCTTTAAAGGACTTAGTGATTCGATGCTAAACTAAAATTTCATAATAATTAATGATTTGATAATAATTAATAATCGGATACAGATATGCATATATATGTATGTACATGCATACATATATATATATATATATATATATATATATATATATATATGTATTATATCAATATATATTTATATCAATATCTATAAATAGACGTGCTACGTGCTGCTTTACATAGCTATAAACCGTTGAAGAAGGGCTTCACAAATTAATCAAGACAAAAGAGTGAACAGAAAAAATGAAAAAAAAAAAATAAATAAAATAATAATAATAATACTTGAAGAGCTTTTGTAAAAACTTGCCAAAATGCCATTGTTCATACGTTTTGTTGTTGTTAATATTGTTGTTGTTGTTGTTGTTGTAGTTATTGTTGTGTAATTAAGTTGTTTCGCTGTTGGACAGCTGAACATATAATGAACGCATCTCTTTGGAGCTCTTCGATAGCTCAGCTGCCGGCCATTTTGTTGTTGTTGTTGTTGTTATTGCTGTTGCTGTTGCTGTTGTTGTTAATCATAAAAACCCATTAGACAATAAGCACGAATAGGGCATATTAGCTACCAGCAAGGGCATATGACAGATGCTCTACGATTAGATCAAATGGATTGAAAAACAACATAATAAATTGAATAAAAATAAAAATAGTAAATTAAATAAAAACAAAAATATTTTTATATAAAGCTAATTTTGAGAAATAGAATCACGAAAATATTAAATAAAATTTGCTCAACATAAAAATGGGTTTTCATGGGTGCAAATTCAGAGAATCTTTATAGACCAGATTATAGACTAGATAGTATAGATTAATTTAACCAATTGAAACTTTTATTTTCCTTTTTGAGAGAAAAAAAAAAAAACATATATAATGTGTCTTTTAGCGTTAATTTTAGTATAAGAATAAATAACTCTACAATTTAAACAATTTCGAAAAGCTGTCAAAAATAAATCGAAATTAAGAAAACAGAGCAGCTGAAAGTCGACTTAATAATGGAGAGATTGAGTGAAAGAGAGAGAGCGAGTGAGTGAGTGAGCTAGCAAGCATGGATAATATTATTGTCACACAGTTGTTGCTTTTGTTGTTATTGTCGCTGTCCAACGATTAGTTGAAGCCTTAATTTGACGCGCAATGAATGCCAGTAACAACAATAGCAATGGCAATAGCAATAGCAATAGGTAATAGCAATAACAATAATAATTATAATAATATATATAATCATAATCAAATTCGCGTTCGCATTGAGCGCTTAAACATTTAATTGAATAATCAATCAAATCAAATAATGTGCGTGGTTCGCTCTGTCCGCGCTGAGTGGCTCTCGCTGTGAACCGGTTCGAAAGTGGTACAAGACGTGAGGACTGCCACGCGGACGGCCATGCACGACTGCCAAATATGCCTAAGCATGAAGCATCATAAAGAGGTTTCACAATCTCCTATAAGCCATGGGCGAGGCTTCATTCGAGATGATTCAGGTATTAGCTTGCAAGGTAAACCTCCTCAATAGATGTCTTTAGAGAGGCTCTGTGGAACCTCTGTAGAATCTATGTTAAGAGACTGTGTGGAATCTCTGTAAAGTGTCTCTGTACAAACTCTGTGAAGAGACACTGTGAAATCTCTGCAAATAAACTTTGCAGAAACTCTGTAAAGACACTCTGTAGAAATGCTATAAAGAGACTCTGTAGAAACTCTGTAAAGATGCTATGTATAATCTCTGTAAATACA